AGCAGGGTCACCCAGAGCAGGCTGCACAGCACCGCGTCCAGGCGGGTCTGGAATATCTCCAGAGAAGGAGACTCCACAACCTCCCTGGGCAGCCTGTTCCAGTGCTCCGTCACCCTCAGAGGGAAGAAGTTCTTCCTCATGTTCAGACGGAACTTCCTGTGCCTCAGTTTGTGCCCATTGCCCCTTGTCCTGTCACTGGGCACCACTGAAAAGAGCCGGAGCTGGCATTGCCTACCACGGGCTCCTCCCTACCTTGGGTTTTCCTTGAGCTGTTCATTTCCTTTGGTGTTGGGGTGAGGGTGTTCTGTCTTTCGCGGAGAAGCCCAGCTCTGAGGTAATTTTAAAATTACTGTTTCACCAAGTAAACTTCGTCCTTGCCAGGCTGCTGTTTGTTATTGGTTTTCTCCCCTTCTCCCACGCCGCTTACACTGCCTGCATGCCGCTGCCTGTGATCCTTCCGCACCAGCTGCTGCTGCTCCCACCCTGTTCTGGGTGGAAAGGGAGCAAGAAGATGGAAGAGTCACGGGTAGAGAAAGCGGCTGACGGACTTGAAGTGTTCCTAATCTACGTTCCAGGCCCATTCCTGCCTGGGGGGTGGGGAGCGCCCCGTAAACCAAAGTTAATTGCTCAGAAGTCTGTGCTGAAGGTGTCCACAGGCATGCAGGGCACGCCCTGGAAATGAGCTGAGTGACCAGATGTTCTGCTTCAGATCTTATCCACTTCTGACCTTGCTGATTTTATTAATTAAACTCCACGGGTCTCCTTTCCCAACTTGACAGAAATTGCAGTGGTTTTGATACTAATCAGGCATGTTTTTTCCAGAGACTGTAATCCCTCAACCCTGGTCAGGTTTTGGTGCTCGGTTACGTTACAGGAGTACCTGCAGGTACTCCTGGAGCAGAAAGCTCTCTTGTTCTCTGTGGTGCCTTTTTCTTCAGGCCTGCTGCGTGGGTGCTAGGGTCTTTCTGCTCCAGGAGTCTCGGAGAGACAGGGGGCAATGGAAACTGTCCCCTTGCCCGTGGGTCTGTGCTTGTTAGGAGACAGCGTTGTCAGGATGGTCCCGATTATCTTAAATGGAAAAGAAAAAAAAAAAATTAAGGTCTTAACAAGTGGGCAACAGACATTCTGTCGGACATTCACTGGAGGTGAGAATTAACACAGGAGGAGAAACAGGAGTGATGATGGGCTGCAAAAACCTGGAGAAAGGAAGAAGAGAGTAGGAGCGACGATGCAAATCAAGTGTTTGGAAATCAGTCTTCACAGCGGCATTCCGGGCAAGGACCAGAGCTGTGATTATGCTTTTCCTGACCGGAAAAAAGGATGTCCTGAAATTGAGGTGGTGAAAAAGAAAACCACAGGAGTCTTAGCTATGTGAATCACGGTATGTAGAAAGAATTGGGAATACGTAGGTGTAGTCAGGATGTGAGTCAGTGAGACCTGCTCTGTGCGCCTTGAGTGACAGCTGGGCACTGGGGATACCCACACTTTGAAGTTAACTCAACAGAGCGCTTCAGGGAAATCGTTTGTTTTGTACCCCAAACACAAGGCCACTCTGCTGTGAATTTAAAAAGCAGCAATTCTTGTTCCCGTCTCTGGATGTCATTATTGACGTGATGGACGAAAAGAGCGGTGTGTCAAGAGAACCTTAATTTATTGCCTGCAATGTAGTACTCCTGTGAAAAGGCTCATTTTATCTCCTGTTTCCTGGGGATATGGTGCTGTTAGGCTCCTACCACTTCTTCATGTTAGAGAGTGAGGAAGAGATTGTGGGTGCTTTGCCAGGCCAGGATGAAAGACAGTGATCTCCCTGGCTAACGTGAGGGACGAGCAGGTATGTGCCCAGTTGTCTCATTATTCTTAATCTTCTTTTTAATTCTCTGTCGCTGTGATACAGGCTGTTATGGTTTGTGTGAACTCCCTGGTTCTTGCTGCAGTGTCTTCTGCAGCTCAGGTCCTTGGTACTTAGGGGTCAGTAACACGGCTGCATGTTGTTAGTGACCGTCTTTGAAAGTGGCGTTTAATTCCCAACCAGCCTGATATTGTCTGTGGTCTCGGAAGGGCGTTTCTTCCGACCGGTGCACGTGGCGTGTCACCGTGTTGGAGTGACGTTGGCCAATTTTAGTGAATTCACGCTTGCTCCTCTTGTTCAACAGAATCCCTTATGGTTGTCATCTCCTTCCTTCTCACCTTTGTGAAGATCTGGAAGTGGCTAAAACATGCCAGTGCGGAAGTGCCTGTCTGAGCAGCTTCATTCAGATCACGGTGACCATGAATCTCCATCACGTAGCTCACACCGTGGTCCTCGTGGATAACATGGGAGGTACGGAAGCACCCATCATCTGCTACTTCTGTTCTCTAGACTGCTATTCCCAGTTCCTGGATAGGTACCTGCAGAGAAACGGGTGACCGTTACTGGGTGCAAAAGCTCTGCCTGAAGCTCTGTCCAGTGACTGAGGAGCCTGGAATTGTTCTCTGCCCGTTACCCACACGTGCTGTCTGCCACAGGGCGTTCGCTGCGGACAGCAAACCTCACTCTTGCAGGGAGGGGGCACTGTCAGCCTGATCCTGCAGCCTTTCCTCCACCACTAGAATCTCTCTTTGGTTGGAATAAAAAGCGATGCTTAGCTTGAATGAATCTTCCTTAGAATGTATTTTGCTTTCTTTTTTCTATGACTGTGACTTCGTTCAGAGTATCACGACAGTTCTCTTTGTTTGGTGCAGTAAGTGGTTTCTTCTTGCTAGGAGAAGGAAGGTGAGCTTATCTCAGCCTGCTTTGCTTGCTTACACTTGAGGCTCTGAACTCTGCCTACAGAAGATGACTGCGTTGGCTTTGTCACTGGACTGGACTCTGCCGACTTGTTTACTGTAGAGCAACTTCGTAGGCTGCTGTGAGAAGAAGTTACGGTGCGAGCAGTTCAGAACTGGTCAGGTAATTCCAGGTGCTTCTTTTTTAAAAAGTTGTGTTGCAGCACTCTCACTTCGAGCAGGGACCAGCACTGCTGGTTTTTTACCAGAGCAAATGTTTTTGGTTTTACCTCTTTGTTATACAGGAAATGTCTTTTTCTAAATATGTGACCTAAACTTTGTTTCTTAACACTCACGTTTTAAACATTCTCCAATTGTTCACTGTGTCAACTTATTAAATTTTGAAACCCTTCTACGTTCCTGTGAATTGTTTTCTCTAATGAGTTTTTCATCCAGTATGTTCTAGGGATTAGCTCCCGGCCTTTTTCCTGGTGTAGCCACCAAAATACTTGAGAGTACCCCCACACCCTTATTTCATGCCGTGTCAGCTGGCCTGTGGTGCAGAAACAGCATGGAACAAAGTCCCCTGAGAAGTCTTTAGGCACCCCACGCCCGGGAACATGTGGCGGCTCGGAGGGAGCACCTTACACCGTTATTTTTGAAGTGGTATTGAGTGCCCAGGCGTGAATTACACACTTTGCCTCTCCGTGGGTCATAGGTAAGTACACAGCTGTGGCAGTTACATGCAGCATCAATGAGAAAACAAGGCATCTGTAGTTACCGGGGGCAACCTGAGCTAGACTGGGCTTCCAGTGACAGCTAAACGTGATGCACAGCACGAGGAGCAGCCTGAAAGGCAGCAGCAGGCTCTGGAAGAAAGTAGTGGCTTGCAGGTCTCCTGCGTGAGCACAACCTTTGTCCACGTTTTAAAAATCATCAGTCTGAAACTCTTTGCTTGATCCAAGACATTCACAGCAGAGATAAATATTGATGCGTGCCTGCCGAAGGGCTTTGCTCCAGGGTCGAGAGGCGCCTTCCTGAGGCAGAGCAACCTTTGCACTAGAACGACGGAGTGTCATTAAAACTTTCTACGAATGTCAAAATGACTTGTGTGCCTGTCATAAACTGTTTGTAAAACAGTAACTTTTAAGCAACTGCAGGCAGATTTGGATTAATCATTCGTTGTGTGTTGCTCTGCAACTACAGAGCACTTGTGAAGGAGGAGGCCAAGTGTGCCTGTTTCCCTCAACGCCAACCTTGGAAAGCTCTGCAGAGCTGACCCTGGGGAGGGGGGGTGGTGAACAGTCATGTGCCAATACTGTTGTAAAGGGAGAGAGATCTTGACCTGATTGCAGCAGGCTGAAGATCACTCGTCTGGAAAAGCACCTTTCAGGTGGAGTGCCTAGTGAAGAGGAGGGAAGTAGAGCAGAGAGAGAAACCCAGCCTCCCGTGGGACTCCAGGGATTTCAGATGCAGATGTGCGGGTGGCTGTGCGGTGGCTCCCAGGGGAGCCGGCTGTGCAGGGTGCAGGAGGAACCGCTCCTGCGTGGCCAGGGATGCAAGCAGGGGTGGGCTGTGCAGTCCCGTTAAACGCAGCTGGAACCTGTAGTTACCCCTCTCGTCTGGGGGAAAAACCCCTGATGGCCATCTCAGCTTGCTGCTCCTGAATGCTGCCGCAAGCTGGGCTAGCAGCAGACTGGATGGCTCTTTAATTGGCCTGATTTTGCTGTGCCGATGCCACTCTGCGTTGTCTGGGTGCTTTGGGATCTTTAATTTGTTCATCTGCATGGTGCCCATGTGAGACAGGGAAGCTGTTACAGAATCAGAGAATGGTGGGGGTTGGCAGGGACCTCTGTGGGTCACCCAGTCCAACCCCCTGCCGAAGCAGGGTCACTGTCACCCAACTGGACGGCGTTTCAGTTGCCAGCACATGACCCACAGCTTCGCAAGGCATTAACTCTGGCTCTGTGGCACGCAGGCTGCCTTCTCGGCTCAAGGAAATACTTTTAAAGTATGGAAATGAGTACTGCTGTGAACCCAGACTAAGAAATAAACACCCCCCAAACCTGTGTGTGTCGGTAACACACCACACAGCGGGGAAAAAACCCACTGAGAACGGTGGTTTGGTGCTGTAAGGGATGAGGTGCAGCACAGACCCTCGTAAAGTTGGCACACCCAGGGCAGGGCGCCCCGGAGACGCTCCGCAGCCGTGCCAGGGCGCTGGGAAACCCACGCCGGGGCTGCCACCCGGCGCCATGCCAGGCCAGGCCGCGGCACATCACTTGGTGGTCACCAAGCCTGGGAAGGGGCCCGCGGCCACCAAGGAGAGCGGCTGGGGCGTAAAGCAGAATTACAGGAGTAATTCTTGCAATGATTTGTAATTGTAGAATCATTTCATTATAGATTATTCTTGTAATTCTAGAACGATTGTAGATTATTCTTCTAATTCTAAAATTATTGTAGTCATATTCTTGTAATTCTAGAATTACTATGTATTACTTGTAGAATTATTTTATTATGTACTATTCTTGCAATTCTAGAATAATTTTCTTCCCTTACTCTTGCAATTCTAGAGTTTTCTGGTATTCTTGCAATTTTTGTGATTGTTAATGTATTATTCTTGCAATGCTAGAATAAATTTATTCTTGCCTATCTAGACTTTTACCTTGTTCTTGACATTCCAGAATTATTGTCTTACCCCGTACTTGCCATTCTAGAATTGTCTTACCTTTCTTGCAATTCTAGTGATTTTTTTAAAATGCCTTATTCATGCAACTCTAGTTTTCTTCTTATATTCTTACAAGTCTAGAATAAACTTCTTGTTGCCATTCTAGAACGTGTTTCTTATTCTTGCCATTCTAGAATGATTTTCTCTTCTTTCTACTCTAGAATTATCTTATTCTTGTCATGCTAGAGTTACTTTCTTATCTTATTCTTGCCATTCTAGAATGATTTTACATCTTATTCCTGCCAATCTGGAACTGTTTTCTCCTATCATATATTATTCTTGCAAATCTAGATTCATTTTCTCTTATTGTGTATTATTCTTGCAAATCAATGATGATTTTCTTATCTTATTCTTGCAAGTCTAGAAGGATTTTCTTCTCCCCGCTCACAGCCCCAGCGTGATCTCTCCCGCCCCCCCACCTACAGAATCACAGAATGTTTGGGGTTGGCAGGGACCTCTGTGGGTCACCCAGCCCAACCCCCTGCCCAAGCAGGGTCACCCAGAGCAGGCTGCACAGCACCGCGTCCAGGCGGGGCTGGAATATCTCCAGAGAAGGAGACTCCACAGCCTCCCTGGGCAGCCTGGGCCAGGGCTCCGTCACCCTCAGAGGGAAGAAGTTCTTCCTCATCTTCAGCGGGAGCTTCCTCTGCTTCAGTTTGTGCCCATTGCCCCTTGTCCTGTCGCTGGGCACCACTGGAAAGAGTCTGGCCCCATCCTCCTGACACCCACCCTGCAGATATTTAGAGGCATTTCTAAGGTCCCCTC